AATTCAAACTATAATTGGGAATTCACATAATTATTGGGCGAAAGGCTTACCAAGAATGTAATTGGGATCAAACCTAAGACCTTAAAGTCCTTGAATACATTAGCACTAAGTTCACACCAGCCTCCATCGATTTAAACAACGATTAGGAAACGAAGAACGATTCACAACACATTTGTGTTTTTGACGAAATGATAGACACCCAATACTATATATATACATAGCCTATCATGTCATTACCTGATAAATTTTCTTTAAATTCATCGTTATCTATACACCTCATATGAATATTCTCGATACTTCTTATAAATTTTTCTAAAATATTTTCTTTGAATTCATCGTTATCTATACACGTCATATGAATATTCTCGATACTTCTTATAAATAATATTAAATCTAAATTAATTACATTACCATGCATATAAACCTTGCTTAAAACATTTCTCAACGATTCAGATGTACCAACATCATTATCCTTACACGTCGTACGAATATTCTCGATAATTCTTATAAATATTACATCTAAAGATTAATTGTATAACCAAGCATGCACGGGCTAGACTTGATTATGCCTGTAATTAAATTGTTTTGGGCTAGATTTGATTATTACGGTGGTTAAGTTTAATTATGTTTTGATTAGGTCAAATTGTTTTGCCTAGTTGTAAATATACCCAAATCTGATTAAAATTCTCTTTCGTTAGACTATCAATATTTTTTAGCCAATTTAGAAAATAAAATTCTTATTACGAGTATATTGTTTAATAGATAAATAAAATAAATTTATAGGATGATGTTATTGAATTTTTGAACAATCATAGGTGTACCATATTCCTTGAGATAATCATATTTGCAATTCGAGGAAAATATCAATCTAGTATATATTTAGTTGTAGAGGCCCAGCCTAGGTATGCATTAGATAAAATGGAAATAGATTTTCAAGAATGTTTGCAACATCTACTCATTTTGATTTAATGCCAATCCAAATAGTACTAATTAATGCTTGTGACATGGCTAAATTGGGGAACTTTAGTCTAGAGTAATATGTTAGGGGTTGTGTATGTTTTAATATATATTCCCACGACAAAGCGAGGATAGCTCAGTTGGGAGAGCGTTAGACTAAAGATCTGAGGTTTGTGTTCGATCCATTTTTTTTATTGTAAAAGAATATGTCTGCAATTGATTGGGGTGCTTCTTGATTTTTTTTCGAGAAAATAAATTTTATTGATAAACTCACACTAGTTACACAAAAGTAGAGGACAAACGTGCTACAAGCTACACTTCAAATCCTTTTTGGATAGCAAAACCGATTCTCCTAAAAATATATCTAAGAGCGCCAACAGTTATTACATTGCTATCCATTATCTTTTGCACCCTCCTAAGGAGCTCAATTGCATCCAAAATCAACAATCCATAAGTGTCAAAGGCAAACAGGATGAAAATATCCTAGTTAACCCTACATGCTACATCGTGTTTCTTCACTTTCGATGTTGCAGCATTACCAAATGCTTGCCCCACCTTAAAGGTCCTAGTACCCAACCCGACCCTCAGAGAAGCCCCTATAACATCAACATCTGCATGTCTACCTTCAGACCACACTCATGCTCACCAGAACACATCACATAAGATATCTCTAACATGATGAAGCATGTACTTTAAGCTGGGATAATGCTTGTAGTGAGCTACTTGGTCACCAAAGGCATCAAGTCAGCTCTTCTTGCAGACTAGACAATGTTCACCATCTCTATGAAGTTGGATCATCAAATGGTAACGGAAAATGGCACGATATTATTTGACGGGCGTCATTCACTATCCAAGATCTTCCATAGGAATAACAAGAAGAAAGTCGTTATTTTCTATTCTTTTTATTCAGATGCATGGTTGTATCTCCAAAAGTTTTTGTTTGATGCAGGCTGGTTTTGATCATCTTTACGTGCATGAATGGCAGTCACATGAATTCATCACAACACTGTCATGAGTGCACAAAACATTGATGTATTGGAGATGACTGTCATTGAAGTTGGGATACATAGAGATGGGGGATGTGCATTGCTACAAAATTATGGCTATTTCAATAATTAGATTAGGCTTTGGTTTAGGGTTAGAGTTTTTAGTTGAGTTGGTTTAGAGTTGATTGGAATACAACAACGTATTATTTTACAATGTACCCTCTTATGTTAATCTGTCTGCATACTTCATTTTTTTATATTATCATGGTGTAAGGCCAGGAGAGGACGTTGTCAAATTGAAGATAGGCTTGGTTCTTTTAATTTGTTTGGTGGATTATTTTTGTTACAAGTGGAAGTACTAAACAAGTGAAATCTGGTATGATTTTGATGGTTGTGCTTTTGGTATATGAAGTGTTTGATGAATTGTTTGAATGGTTTTGTTTAGAATCTACATATTAGCAAAGGAAAAATTGGTTGCTATAGTCTAATTTGGATTGCTTGAAATCAAGTGGGTGATTAGATCTTGTTGCTGTTTGGTTGTTCGATAGTTTTGTTCAAAATATCTTTGCTACGTGTGAATTGAGTAGGTGGACTCTATGTTTAGTTTGCATGTTAGATTATTTTGTTCAAAATTTAGTTGTTCAGTTCAGTTAGATGTCTCAGCCCTGCATTGATTTAGCATTTAAAATTGTTGTTTATGTAGTTTGACAAACTCATGTGAGCAGAGATTACGAGTTTGTGGGAGATGTTAGAGTAGTATGGTTATGTCATTATTTATTTTTTTCTTTGAATGGGTTATAAATGTTAACGGAAAAAAAAAAGGTTACAGTGGTAGAGGAGCATGAGGTTCCAGTACAAGAAAAATTAAAATCGATAGTAGGTTACATGAGGCCATTCCAAAGTAGTTAAAAAACTTGGTCTTCACTCCCACCATAGAGTAGCATTAGGAGCTAGAGGAGCTCCCATTTAGCACAAGCATCCGCACTAAAATTACATTCCCTCCATGTGTTGGTGATGGAGAGCCATTCAAAATCACTTTTTAGTTTTTTTTATTTCTTGCGAACAGTCCAGCAGATTTTGTCATGCTAGAAGGCTTGTACTGCAGCAGTTGAATCACTTTTTATCCATAACTTTAGCCATCCCTTCTCAAGAGCTTTCTCCATTAAAAAACTCTACGCCGACTACTACAGCTGACTACTTTGGGGACGACCCTTTTGTGGCGAGCTCCAAATTTTCTCTCTCTTCTTTCTCTCTCTTGTTTTTTTGTTTTTTTAATATTTTTTGTCCTGCCACCTCAGCAGTCGTCGCCAAAGTCGGCGGGTGTGGTTGTCCGCGTAAAACTACTCTTCTCCATTGCAGGAATGATGGGACATTTTTTTGCTTCATAATTGGTGGTTGTATCCAAGACACCTACATATATCCCACGTATTTGAGCATTGCAATCTCTAAAGGTGGCCCCCCAACTTGCTTTCCCACGGTTTCCCATGTAATATCCAACGACATTGACCTTCATAATGCCTAAACAAGGAGTCTGCCAATAACATTCAATTGGAGTTTTAGATTTTTTTTATCTTGAACTGAAGATGAAGTTTTGCTAAGGTCTGCTTATACAAGGCATTGTTGTTGTAGGAGCTGTAATTACTAACAAACACGTTAACAGTATAGTAAATAAAAGACAATGCATAAATCTGACTTACTGAGCAGAATCGTGACTCGGTCACTTTTCTTAAGACAAAATTTGCCCCGACGTGCTTCGGTTTGATAGCAAATAGTCTCCCAGGATACAACTGTTACTGCAACTTCTGAGGTTGAGCACACCCTACAAAAGCATGTCGAACTAGCACTATGCTGCACTCTCAAGACGGACGAACAGACTGACTAGAAGAAGAGAAGAATGCTTGTGTTTTGTACTGTGTCTAAAGTGTATGACAAATTTCTCTTTATATAGGTAATGAGATTGAGAGATATGGAAATTACAGAGATATTTTATTCTATATAATTAGCAATATATGATATTGGGTATCCATTTACTTGGAAACAAAAGGTTCTGGAAATCCATATTCTTTGAAACAAATGGATATGGAAATCCATATTCTTGGACATTACTTGCTCTGGAAGTCTTTTTAATAAGGCAACCACAAAACCAATTTGGGCAAAAAAGATAGACAAGTCTTGATCCAATCTAAACCGAACCAAACCGAACCAGGCCGGACAGCGGCGTGCACGCGTGTGTGGTTTGTATTTGGGCCATAGCCCATGCATGGCTCCGCTCCATTACACATTAGTGGTAACCCAAAGGGCTATACCCTTTATGTTCAACCATGTGTATATTAAGTTGTTTCCAAACTTTCCATCTCACAATGTGAGATTATCCCATTTCCAACAAATGTCCATGACAAGTACTCGACTTTTGACGTAAATTTTTCATTCATCTTGGTTCCGATTTTGACTCACGAGTATACCATTTTGTAGTACTCAACAAGGGGAATCCATTCCATCTAAGAACTCAAGTTTTCGATGTCTAGAAACACTCGAAAATTGCATCGCAAAATCTGACAGACCGCAGTTTTGGAACTGGGCTGTCAGACTTGTCAAACTGTTCTAACAATCTCCCACATGAATGGAAATTACCTGACGACAATGCATGTTGACAGAAAGACATTTTTTGAGAGTACAGACGAGGAATCACTGCGTCTGGAATAATAGCAATTTTTCAGCCTTGAATTACCCATAGTGAATAGCTATCGGATCTACACGGCCAGATGGTAGCAATTTTTCAGCTTTGAACCACCCAGGCTTTGGTGTAAACCTAGACAATAACTATCACACAGTTTCATCCTCTCATAGAACTAGAGTTCTCATGATTGGGTTCGTTTTGGACATGAATGCTAATCCTGGTTATCATGAGTGAACTTGGATGATGTCGCCTATCATCATTTCCTAGAAACGACCTTATTTCACACTCACAAGGTGATTCCTATAAAGAGTAATCTACACATACCCCACTTTTATTTCAAAGCTATAGGAAACATTAAAAGCCAAGCTTATCCTTAACCATATTTGCAGATAGCACTGGTGATCATCCTAGGAACTGGGTAGAGACTTAAGTCTCTCAGTGCTCTGTCGATTCCTCCAGGTTAGGTTTTTCCCTTGAACTTAGATCTTGGGATCTCCAGTCAGCTAAGTAGGGTTTTCCGCCTAGTATACTCTTTTCGTCATAGGCTTAAGCCCATTCATTTTGATGATTTCTCCACTTGTTCTCGTGACAAACCTTTAGTAAATGGATCCGCTAGATTGTCAATCGATTTGATATAATCTATGGTGACTACACCATTTGAGAGCAAGTGTCTAATGTTTTTATGTCTCCGTCGTATGTGACGAGACTTGCCATTATATATGGAATTTAGTGCCCAAGAAATAGCCGATTGACTATCACAGTGTACACATAAAGCTGGCACTGGTTTTTCCCACAAAAAAACATCCTCTAAAAAATTTCGAAGCCATTATGTTCCTTCAATTGTTTTATCTAAAGCTATAAATTCAGATTCCATTGTTGATCTAGCCAACAACGTCTGTTTAGAGGATCTCCATGATACAGCTGCAGCACCAAGTGTGAATACATATCCACTTATAGATTTTGAGTTTCTAGAGTCTGATATCTAGATACAATCTATTTGTAACACCCCTGAAATCCCATTTGGGGTGATCAATCCCTAACCGGACTCCAGAGTCGTAGAATTTCTCATATACCCACCATGGGCATAGATTCATCCATGCTACCAGTCAATATCAAAATGGAAAGCAACAACAACTATCAGAGAAAAAAAATAACGGAAGATTCAAAAAGAAAGATTTGTATATATATCAACTGAAGATTTGTACAACATATAACAACATGATTTATAACAAAAAGAAACCTTGAGTTTGAAATATACAAAGATAAACTGAATATACAAAGGAGATATATAAACAGTTTGAACAAAAAAAAAACTAGGATATAAAGATATGCCTTAGAGGCTACAAATGAATCCTAGCTACAACAACCAAGAGCAACTCAAAAACTAACTCTAAGCTCCGTCGCTCTCATCGTTGTATTTTCCTATCAAAGGGTCACCGGTTGCCTGAAAAGGGAAAGGGGTTAGACTGTGAAGTCTAAGCAAGCTATAAAACAAGGGGGATCGTTCTTAAGTCTAGGTTAAGACTTTAACAA